TGGAGCTGGCCAAGACTATCAGACTCATTAGGAACAGCAAAAATCCATTTTTAGAAACCTACAATATATTTTACTCTGTCTCTGAATCAGAGAATGACAAAGGGCTAAACAGTGATTTCCACTGACCACTATTCAGTAAAAGAAAACACAATCTAGAGAACAATGTTGGAAGAGTTATTTCTTCTTACCATGAGTAGATCCCACTGACTGTGTCATAGTTCTGTGAAGTGTTCACTCCGCTGGGCCCAGCTGCTTTCGAAATAAGCAGCACCACCAAGCCCCTCAACTGGAGGTTATGGCGGCTGTCATGCACAAGTCCCCTGCCAACAAGTAAAGGGAAAAGAGGATTAATATACCTTCACAGGATCAGTCAGACCGAGTTAGAAAACTGCTATGAGTATATCTAAATTTTAAAACTGGTCATTGGGATTTATTGAAAAGAAAGGGATGGGGAGGAAGGAATTTAATTGAGAAAGCAGGTAACATAGAAACAACCATAGAAATCCATGTCTGGTTTTTAAAAGTGATACTTGAAAGTTATAAGGCTTGATGATCTAGTTCTCTCTGGATCTTTCTACTATCTATTTCCTTCCTTCCTTCCTTCCTTCCTTCCTTCCTTCCTTCCTTCCTTCCTTCCTTCCTTCCTTCCTCCCTCCCTCCCTCTCTTCCTCTTTTGTTGTTGTTGTTGTTGCTGATGAACTCAGGTATAGTATGTATGCTAGGTAAGTGCTCTACAGGAAGCCATAGTTAAAAGTGTTTTGGTAGTTGATGGCAATTGTAATAGAAACTGCATGGCTTGGATGAAGCAATACTATTTGGTGATGATAGTAATAAGAGAGAATGGTAAAAAAATTATTTGTCTTCATGGTAGAAAAGAAGTTCAGAGAATGAAAGGATTAAAAAAATCCAAATGACTTAAAAATGCATTTAAGTAAATAGAAATGAATGTCATCAGCAAAAATCTTGTCTATTAATAGGAAAGCATCATCATTCTAGGTAATAATAAGGCTTTAATTTAGGATGTCATATTTCTTTTGTTATGAGGATTGAACTTTTATAATTTCTGCTATAACTGGGGCTAGCAATACTTTCTAGAACACATTTTCTTTTTAAAGTGTTGCAAACGGTTGTCATAAAAGACTAAATGGCATCATTTAAAATGAAAGAAAATGGGCAAAATGTTAAGATAAATTAATAGGTAGAAGAATGCCTTTGTGAGTACTAATCAAATAGATTATGTTATAGCATAAATAAATAGTATACAAGTATAGTTCTTGAATGTGGTAAAAAAGCAATGATAAAAATTAGTATTGTTCATTGAATTAAGACTTAGTCTTGAAAAAAGAATCAATTTAAGTTAATGAAGTTAACATAACCAAAGATAATGAGTTAATCTATTACTTAAAAATCTTTGCCTCTCAAGCTTCTGAACAGAAATTTGTAAGAGGTCCCTTTTTACGCTTCATTAGTTTCAAAATAAGACAAATCAGGTTCTTTGCAAAAGAACAACTTTACCTCTTTTACTGGTATATCTTACCCTTAACCAAACAAGTGATCTTCAGTAATTAGAAAGGTTAGTAATTTTAAAAAAGAAGTTCTCATTTCCTAGGAAAATGAAGTTAAGGTAATCAAATTACATTGCAGCAGAAACAAAATATGAGAAAAGTCCTAAACTCTTTATTATTATGTAACAAGTTGCCTAAATCTTATCGATCCAAATTGTAGGAAGGCTGGAAAGCACCCTGTGGGGAACAAGAAAATGTAAAATAGGATCTTGTTCTAAATTTTTTTGCTTGGAATTGCAAATTTTAACTAAGGCTATCAAGTCCTCATTTTAGGTATTACCTACAGTGAATCTTTATGCATCCTTTCTTTTATAATATTAAAGAGAAGGTTTAAATAGATCTTTAATTCTAGAAAGGCAAAAGAGGTAGGTAAGGCTTTGTGTGTGGGTGGATATAGATGTGGATGGGTGTTGGGGTTGAGCCTGGTCAGGGAAAGAGGGATATGATGATATAGTAAGAACCCTAGCAGGTGAATTTGGAGACAACACAAACCTAGCCACACTGAGAAACTAGGTCTAGCAACAATTTTGACAACATTTTCTCCAAACTTCTTAGAGATGGGAACCTTCACAGGGGATTAATAATAGCATCAGTAAACATTTATCTAATGCTTTATGTATTTTAACATATCAGGAATTATTCTACATGCTTTACTATATATTAACTAAATTATTTCACAACTCAAACAGGAAAGTACCACAATTATCCTGATTTTATAGATGAGAATGAAGCACACAGAAATACTGAGTGACTTTCCCAAGGTACCATAGCTGATAAGTGGTGGAGCCTTGACAGAGCCAGGCTCTGACCAGGCAAATAGTTAGTTTTAAGGTCTATAGACATTCTTTTTTTATATATTTATTTTTTAGTTGTAGTTTGATACAATATCATTAATTAATTACCCCAGCCCCTATAGACACTCTTAATCATAATGCAAATAGTGACTCTGTATCTGCTTCATCTCACCGACAAGACTATTTGCTAAATATAATTAGAACAGTAGGCTTTAGAACCAGACAGGCTTATGTCTGAAAAATTCTTTTTGTTATTCACCAGCTGTATTACTTGAAGGCTGTCAACTCTTTTATAAAATGAGAGTAACAATGTCTACTTTCCATACTCATGGTGGGGAAGAGATAACAGGGATAAAGCCTATAACTCTGTGAAGCATATGGTAGGAGATCAAGTTATCAGTAAATTACATTCTCTTTGATGCTTTTTTATGATCTACTTTTTTTTCAATTCCTTCCTTTCCTTTTACTCCCTGTCTCCTCCCATCTGTCTTCCCCCACTCTACTTGCATATAGAATCTCCTACAAATATTGTTCACTTTTCTCCCTTCCCGAAGGACAAAAGTTACCCCACTCTTCTGTAAGCATCACTATCAATGTACTGAAAAGGTCAGGAAGAAAAACAAATGGATACTAGCTTAAGTTAATTAAATAACTGTTTCTAAAAGCAACTTCTTGACATTCACTTCATTAACACCTTCAAAAACAGTACAGTATACAATAGAATATTACTCAGCATTAAAAGAGAATAAAATCATGGCATTTATAAGTAAATGGGTGGAGGTGGAGAATATCATGTTAAGTGAAGTAATAAGCCAATCCCCCTAAACCAAAGACTGAATGTTTTCTCTGATATGTGGATGCTGATCCATAATGGGGGTTGGGGGGTGGGGACATGGGAGGAATGGAGAAACTTTAGATAGGGCAAAGGAGAGGAAGGGAAAGAAAGGGGGCATAGGGATAGGAAAGATGGTATAATGAGATGGCATCATTACCCTAAGTATACGTATGAAAACACGAATGGTGTGACTCTACTTTGTGTACAACCAGAGACATGAAAAATCTATGTCTACTATGAGAAATGCATTTTGCTGTCATGTATAACAAATCAGAATAAACAATTTTTTTTTTAAAAAGTACTGAGATAAACTGATGATGCCCACAACTCAAAAATTAGCTCTGATCCTAAAGAAAGTAAGAAATTTTGTTTCTCAGCATAAAAAAGTTCCTGGCATTCTAAATTTAAAAAGATAATATGTTTCATATAATCCAGGTCATATTTTACTGGGAACACTGATCTATCTACTATCAGTGTCTCTCTTTAAGGAGTTACATTCACAAACAGGAGCATATCCAGAAGATAGTAAAATCACATACAAGTTGCAAAAGTTTCAGATTTAAGGACTATGTAAATATTCCGAAATACAAACAAACAAACAAAAAATCCAAATTTGAAACATATGTGGTTAAGCATTTTGAATACCTCAACCTGTATTGCCACATACAATGAATGCTAGCTTAGAGAATGGTAAAGTTGGTTTTTCAAATTTATTCAGTCAAAAATGTACTGAATGCTGATTGCATGTCAGGCATGGTACTAAACAGGCAGTGGTGGACATAATGACAAGCAATGGTGAGCTGTGGTCTCCCTTCTTGTAGATAACAGTCTGAATGAAAAATATCATGATTAAATGCAACATGAATTACTTTTAGGGATGAACAGGGTTATGAGAGCAAGAGACCTCCAGAAGATTTAAAGAAATGAGGGCGATTCCTCAGAAAACTTGGAATGGAATCAACATTTGATCCAGCTACCCCACTCGTTGGTTTATATCCAAAGGACTTAAAGTCAGCATACTACACTGACACAGCCACATCAATGTTTATAGCAGCTCAATTCACAATAGCTAAACTA